CGCCAGCCAGCCAGCCAGCCAGCCAACGCCAGCCAGCCAGCCACGGCCTTGCGGGTTTAACGGCCCAGCACGTGGGAGCGAATTGGACAAATATAGAGACCAAAAAAAAAATAAATAACGATACTTCAAACTGTACGAGGGAAGTCAATTAACAAATAAAATCGATAAATCTTTCTAGCGTGGCTTTTGTAGACAATAAATACTTCATTAAGGATGTGGTTGTTTCATTGTATATATTTACTACATTATCGAGTCCTAAAATCGCATCATTGGTTTTAGCCTCCATTTTCTCCATTTTCTTCTGATTCACATCCATCCTGTTCGTGTTCATCACTCCTACGAGTCGCACTTTCTTGTGATCATAAGTTGGTACACTTTGATTGGCGGACTCCGTTATATCAAGTATATTTTTGATAGAACTGGCATATAGTACTTTTTGGTTAGCATCCGTTATAGGCTTTATCGAGAGATTACTAACAAAATCCAGTATAGGTACGTATCAAGACAATTTTTATTAGTGTTGGATTTGTTCCATGAAAAATCTACGTACTAGGCGATATCCGTTATATCGAGTTTCACTGTGCATTAGGATTTAGTTCAATTATCCAAACGATTGTCCCTTCCTTGAACCTGCAAGCTACAAACACGTAAACAGAAATACATTTCGAGTTATTGTTTTTTCTTCTTTCAATCTTCTTCGCTCGTGTAATCTTCAATGTGGTTCTCGTATCTCCTTCGAAACCCAATAAGCCAGATATGCCAATGTACAAATGTTAAGCCGACGAGAATGTAATTACTGAGAGAATGAGGTAATCAAAGATAAAAAATGGAATAAAGAGACGCACCTCCATTGAGCTATCCAGCCTTGCAATTTACGTATGTGGAAATTCGGTGTGTGCTGAACAGATGCTCCGATTCGTCTTTTAGTGCCCCGTATTTAAATAATGTAAATATATTGTGCCATAAGAATACGATGTTTGCTATACCTTATCAAATACTTGAAAAATGTCAGTAAGTAATTGAGACTTGATTCTGCCGAGCAATCCGGGGGGCTATAATAAGTCAAAGTCGGATCATCGCCATAGCCAAGGACAGTCACGTTGCCCTTGTTGTATAAAGAGTGTATGGAAGAGCAAGAATTCTTTTTCTGTTAGCCCAACAGTGTTGACACCATCTGGTTCGTAATCTTTACTGCTTCATTTACACTCTCGAATTTCTTGTTGTTAGTCATTTGCGCTAAGAATGTCATTGGCCTCGGTGATCACATGACCACATTCGATCAATCTGTGTAACAGCTTGGTCGCACAAAAATTTTCCCAACCTCTTTTTTTCTTCTTCCTGGATCTAAAGTTATCACCACCCTTCGATCTATTCTATCAAAGTATTTTTTCAAAGATGTCTCTTTCAAGTGATTACAACTATTCACTCCAAGGAAACATGTAAGATTACAGAAGGCATAGTATCTTATGGAAAACAACCAGCGTTTACGTTCATCGTTATTCGTCTGTAGGGATGAAAAGAAGAAACAAGTAATGGACCAAGTCAAAGCTGAGCTGGCCTTGGCTCAAGCTCATGAACTTATTAACGTAAGAACAAGAGGAAATGTACTTCAGTTGATCCTCCACGTTGGAATGTACGCAGGTGTTAATACTACAAACATTGTTTATTCGCCGTATCATATGAATAGAAAATGAATGAAAAATGCTTTGCCAAGTGTATTCTCAAGCCAGGACATAAAATGGAGAACAGTGAAATGGTAATACAATCGATCTTTTCCACGATTTTTGATGCCATTTACAACTGCTAGCTTACTTTGCTTCTGATTGTGTGTTCTATAGAACTGCATTGACAGATGTGTATTAAAATATATGGAAGCATGGAACGTTGTGTCGCGGACATATTTAAGTCGTGTTAGAAGAGAAGGACAGTCATTGGACAGTGGAATCTGATAATAATGAGTGGAATGAATCTTGTAGTGGTATAGCATGATTAGAGAGATGGGTTAATGTACATGTACGTTTATTTAATTCTGACTAATTGACTAACATAATCTCCCTCAAATACCTAAACGACCAGATATAACGAACATAAATAATTATTCATTGCATAACTGTAATGGCTTTTCATTGTGTAGTATTGGAGTAGATTCCATCGACTGCTAGAGTGATACTTCCTCGCTAGAATTATACTCTCGCCAAACTAAACATTAATAATTAAAGAATATGAACAACACTTGATGATTTAAAAAGACTCCCACCAATATTCTCTGTAGGGATAGAGCGTTCCTGTAATGCATCAATATCAAATGATTGAAAGGTCATAGTCACCACAGTGTACGAGAAGATTGAAAGGGGATGGATCTAGTCATGATAACCCTTGAGACGAGAGTAGCACATTGGGTGCAGATTTACTGCAATGAAAAAAGCATGGTTGTCCATAACGGCAGTCGTAGAGATGTAATCAAATGTGAGAGATGCGTCAACAATCTGCATTTAATCTTTATCTTGACCATTTACAGTGAACAAGATATGTCGATAAACGCATACCATCTTATCGTGCTGAGTTGGGAGTGGTTGGTTTTCTTTTCTCTATAATGAGCAAACGTAACGCACATGCATCGAATATGGGAAATAACGCAATTCAGTGTGATTACCATGGGATAATTCTTACTCAAATATTTACGCTACGATCAGGACGCTATAATAATAATAATAAGCAGTGGTACAAACTGCCCGAACGCTCGGAAATAAACATCACATGACATTAAACTATACATATTAATATACATACAAACGACTACTAATAATAAGCAATAAAGTGATGGATAACAATAACCGATTTCCCCTATCTCCAACAATACACTCGCCAGAAGATAGCAAAGAACCACAAAAGGAAAGGCGAAAACTATCGTTCGTCTCCCAAGCCGAAGAAATGGTATCAGATCTGCAACCTCACGCTCATGAAATAGCTATCGAAAGAGATCAAATTAATAGTTTCGAATTTAATGGACGAAACTATACCAAAGTTGGCAGAGAAAATGCCAGCGAAGACAACCAATATCTCAGTGACCACACATCCGACTGCCTTTCTGAAAACGACGATGTCTTCTCTGGAAGCGAAAAAAAGAATTCTAGTAAATTCACTTCCAGTAATACATCGATTCGTCGTCAGCATAGAGAAAATGATAAACTAGACTCGGATCCAAACAAATCCGCAAACTTAGGTGAGAATAAGTGCACAATTCAAATGCAAAAAGCAATCAGTACAAATACACAGCAATAATCGTGTGCAATATGTTGCGGCCAAATCATGGGAAGACAATGACTGGTCTACGCCATCATCAAGTTTAACAGTGAATAGGAATATCCCAATAATTTTGACCGGCGCTGAGACCAATAGCAATGATTTGAATACTACCCAGCTCGTGCAAGAACCAGAGGAATATCAGAGTGAAGGTAGTAAATGACCACAACGTCTACGTGAGTTGGCGGATTTTGAATAATTGAGTAATTTCTGCTGATGAGCTATGTTGACATATATTAAACAGGCACAAACCAAGAAATAGCTAGAAATGGGCAAAAGCGTTCGTGGAGCTTACAATCCCCAGTTTCCGGAGAGGATTTACCAAGTAATGATACCTTTCTCATATTCGCAAAAGCTTGTGTAGACCGTCTGTACTAACATTATATAATTTACCCTTTATCTATTTTCCGATTTATTCAACACTTTTCTCACTCACTTTTTAAGATCAAATGCTGGTTCGCGTAACTTCTCTCACCTTTGACCCACCACGACCAGTCAGTTCCAATCACAAAATAAAAACTTCGCTCCGTCTTACTAGCCACTCGGTGACTCATAATGCACCCCCAGCTGCAGTTTCAGATGAGCATTTCCAGAAGACATTTTCATTTCCAATGGATTATCATTCATTGGTTTTTGATACATTGAAAGTAGATGTGTATGAGCACAGCTCGTTTATGAATAACAAGAAAAGAATTGGTCGAGCGTTTGTCAGGCTAAGCGATCTGATTGATGCTGGTGGACAGATCGAGTATGAAGGGTAAGTAAGTAAGAAAGCTAGAAGGGAGGCGAAGACACTTGTCGCAAAGCACATTGGGCAGCATGCGCCTTTAGTCATTTCACTCCTCGCTATCAGCGTTAGTTCTACCACATTGTGCTATCTCATTGCCAGCTATAGCTTATTTCAATAGTTTTTCTCCCTTCCCATCCTTTTTTGGTTTTTTGCGGGTTTCGCCACGGCGATACACAAATAATTCCATTTCTCTCTAACATTGTATGCTCCAACATTATGAAATTCATCAAAAGCGACTTCCCGTTAGAGTCTTCTATTCTCGCACCGACAACCTATATCGGTTCAATAGGGTTAAAACTTAGATTCCATTTTCCACGCGACGTCCTGTCATCAACTTCGACATCTCATGCGAAATCGACGCCAGTCGGCCTCGAGTCAAGTACATCCGACTTGTTAATGTCACCTCACTCATCTGGCTCGGATACGTTGATAGGTTCGGAAACCAGTCCCATCGCTGACGCGACGTCGAGATCTGTGGCCGATGAATTGACAAGGGTGGATGAGAATGAATTCGCAAGTGTGGTTCGCTTACCGAAGAAAAAAGGAAGTTTGGGAATATTGGATCTTGTCCTCAATCAAGAGACACGAGATGCGATTAAGGAGATCACGGTGTTATATCATACCTTTTTTGACCATGGCTGGAGATTGAGTAAGCTCGAATTTTTGAAAGCTTACATGTTTTTGGAAAAGTATTATGCACAAAAGGAGAGGTAAGTGCTTGATATTGATTGATAGAGAGGACTAAAAAAGGTTAGCGCATGGGATAGGATTAATATTCGCTGTTGCAGACGAAAATCGATATTGAAAAGTCACTTTATTATTTTATAGTTCGTTAACTGGTCAAGATGTGCGCGATATCCAAAAACTCCAAACTGCGCAAAAGTTTCTCAAATATTCAATGGCATCTTACGTAAGTCGTCACAAATTAGCCTCCTTAATATTAAACCTCTTACTTTTATTTAGTATTAATTATCCATTGTATGCTTGATCTTCATCACCTCATTATTCTCAACTCTATAGGGTTCTTTCTTGTTCAACTGGTTTGGGTATGCACCCGAGAAAGCTCCATTGAATGCGTTTAGAATGAACTCGGACAAGAAGAATGTGCTTGAGTTTTTTAAACTTAACAAGACTGATGTCATTTGTTGGGAGTATGGAAAGAGTTCGGTGTCGAAACCAAGTTATATGATTGTCAGGGATCCAGAGACGAATCATATATTGATTTCAATCAGAGGGACGATGGTAAGCCAGCTTTTTAGTGTTTATTAATATGACGTCATATGGCGTAATTGTTGTGGAACTTTAATAACTTTAATTCAATTTAGAATGTAACCGATATTATAACCGATGCCCTAGCGCATTACGAGCCCTGGAACGGTGGGTTTGTCCACCGCGGCGTTCTTCGTAGTGCCAATTATTTGGTCGATCACTCTCTTCCAGCCATACGGTCAGCTGTCTCACGGTATGATGCGCCTGCTATCCAGGTTATGGGTCACTCTCTAGGCGCCGCAATTGGATCAATCGTTACTATGATTCTTCGCGATAAGTGTCGAGATTTATTAGAGTTGGGAATAGGTATCCATGCCTGGAATTTTGCTCCTGCTCCATGCTGTTCTTTAGATCTGGCTAAGAAAGCAGAAGAGGGGAAGTTCATTGATAGCTTTGTGAACGAAAATGACGTCATACCAAGATTGAGTTATGGAAATTTAATGGATTTTAAGGAATTGGTAAAGATGGCAGCTAGTGAGTTAAAGAATGATGCTTATAAAAATGCAAGTAGATAACTTTTTTTTTTTTAACCTGAATATATTTTTCAAATCATGTCGCGTACTGTAATTCTCACACGTTTAATACTTCTTTAGCTTTCAGCGAAACAAAAACTCACAGCTCTCATATCCTCTGTTGATGCATATCACACCAATCTAAAAGCGACATCGTCATCACGAAAACTCTACATTCCAGGGACAATATATTACCTCCACAAAGGAGAGCGCATTACTCAAACCGATGGCAACCGTGTTTACTGCATCAAAGACGTCATGTGTGAAACATCATCTCCTGAACATTTCATGGATATCACGTTGAAAAAGAATTGGTTGTTTCATCATTTTCCGGATAGGTATGATAAAAAGTTTACTCGCGTCATTAAATCATTAATAAGAGAGAGCTTAGGACAAGAGGCAAAGGGTTTTTGGAAGAAGATTAAGAAAAGAGGAGAAGAGGACGAAAGCGTTAACGTTGGAGAGGAAGGAGGGAGGAGAATGGAGAGATGGATGAGTAGGAGTGGGCATATTTGAATATATATATATTATGAATCCAAGAGCATTGAGTTTGTACGCATACACACTTTTGTAAGAATAGGTCATTATTTCTAATCATCGGTTGTAATATACTTAGTATTCGAAATTCGGTGTTGCATTACATGTTTATTTATCACTTACTTATCATAGACTTGAAATAAATTATAGAATCTATATCCTCAAGTTTTGTATAAAATTGCATTGTCAAAATTGGCTACCAAAAATCACCAACAAAAAATTGCAGTAACATGACTTTGTTGTGTGACAAAGTCATGGTTACTGCAATTTATAACTACCTTAAAATTTTTTCGTCACTCCTCTATGTAACGCCTACAACGATGATGCAGTCTCCTTCATCAATACAAGACTTTCCTCATGCTCCGCCGAATCAACCGTCTAGACGACGATTTGACATTGGAGCAGATTTAATCTCTGCCCACTTGCAACAACAGCAGCGGCAGCAACAACAACAACAGGAACAGGCGACACATGACGACCAGCCACCCAACAAGCGAGAAAAGCCTGGCTTTGCTACAAGCTTTCTGTACAAGCTGACTGAATTGGCTGCTTACACTTCTGCCGTTGCTACAGAGGCATATCAAACTATAACTGGCCCGCCGGAGAAGCAGAGAAGTAGCCCACATCACGAATATCCGGAATATTATAGTGATGTGATGCAGATTAGAGCTGCGGGAGAGGAAGATAACGAAGTGCTGGACGTCGATAACAAGAGAAATGTTTGGGATTCTGTCAATAATGTCGACGAAGAAGAACCTCCGCCGCCATATGATAATTCCTGGAGAATGGTAATTGGAGGGATTGTGTAAAAGATGTGCGGGGTGAATTGTATAAATGTATGCAGGTAGTTAATTAGGGAGTGAATCGAGTAAATAGCCACCTCTATAGGCTTACAATTCGATTATAACGACGTTATCACATACCTCAGTTTAATCAATTGTTATTATATAATTACATTAATTAATGTCATTGTTATCACAACTTGTAACTGGCTCGTACTTTCAACTCACGTACTTTTCTCCTCCACCCCTTGTAGCCTTCCCCCTCAACTCAAAATCTACCGTCTACAATCGACGCCTCTTCTCCATCAAGAGTTCAGTTCAATACTCCCCAACCACAATCCCGACGTCGACAAATTCGCCGTGGGAGCCGCCGCCCTCTTCGACGAAAATCATCTTCTCAAGACCTTCGTGATAACACGACTAAATTTGACGACGAAGATGATCTATTCTCAAAATTCAGTGGCAAGCTCGCAGACATGGTTGCAGAAGGTAGAGCAGCATTGACTAGTACGGTTGATGTGACAGAAGTAGAAATGATGATGGCCGAAGAACGAGAACGAGGAGAGAAGATAATGCGAGATTTGGGAATACAGACATCGGTATCATCTCGGAGACGAGGGACAGGCAGTTCAAGCAGTGACGTTGATTACTTCGCAGCCTCGCAGGTCGATAATACATCAGAGTATAGCTACTCCTCGCTTACGTCTTCACCGGCATCATACACATCCAGCGGGTTTTCTGGATTGAATAGTAGTTCGCCGGCATCTGCGTACTCTGCATATTCAAATTCTTATTCGTCTTCACCGAGCAAGTTTGATCGAATAGCAGGAAGCAGCTTGGGAAACCGTTCATATGCGAGCAGTACTGGAGCTTATTGAGAGCAGACATGTCAAAGGCAATACACGAGTGATTCAGTTTCTCTAATGTTGTAATGGTCCATATTATGAAATTCATCAAAATTGACATTCCACTAGAATTTTTCATTCTTGCGCCGACAATCTGTATCAGTACAGTAGGGTCAAAACTTAGATTTGTTTTCCGTGTGAAATCGTCATCAATCAGCATTGGGTCACGTCTGACTCGTTAACGTTACTTCTCTCGTTCGGCACGTCACGTTGATCGACATCTGTGGCTGATGACTACGAGGAACGCCGCGGTTGACCATGATGGTGATTATGATAGTTGAATATATTATGCAATAGAAGGCTTAGGGATTACCAAAAGAAGGGTTGGGATGAGTTATATATTCAATATTGTTACATAAACGGCTCGTAATAGGCCAATAGATCGGTTACATTCTAAATTAGAATTCAGAAGTTAAATAAAATATTAAAGTTGCGTGTGACATCTCATGTTTATAACCACGGGGCCGACAAAAAAGATTAGCCAGTTTACCATTGTCCTCACTGATTGAATCACTCTTGCAAGTTCATCTCATCCCACTATCGCCAATTATTCTGGTCGACCAGCAATATGCAATCCTGCATCTCCGGTTGGAATATATTTTCTATTCGAAATTTGGGTGTTTTAGTACACTTGTTGATAACAGAATTTTCAACGTAGATCGATAACGACAAACGTGTATTATGGAATAAAGAATTGGAGGAGACATATGAAAAGCTTTATACAAGATTAGAAGGATAACAACTAAAAAGAAGAATAAAGAACATGTGGTCGTATTGTTGCGAATTGTTGAGTCAAGGAATTCAAACAGCATGAGTGCAAACAAGAGCGACTAACTTGAAGAAAGCCGCGATGGTAAGATAGCCTTCGCCTGCAGGTTCTCTACCCAATTTGGGTTACTGAAATTAATGGAAATAAAAGAGCCTACATTACATCCGAGATCACTAATACGAAAATGAACGCTTCTGTAATCATTGAAGCAAATATAATTCAAAGTCTTCTATCATCACTCAACACAATGGGCATGCTAAAGCATTTTTTTCTTAAAACGCTATCCAATCAAAAGACAAAAACTTTGCCGGGATATCTTCCCAGATTTCGACCATAAAACTTTATAGACGTACGTAGTTAATATTAAGACGTGTCCGACTTATCTTGAACTAACTGAATGTAGTAAATTTTAATTCGCAAAAAATTATATATAGTAATAGGGAGGGCTAATAAGGATGGCTGAAGTAGTAAAATTTAGTTTCTACTAACACGATCAACGCGATCGCGTGATAATTATACGAATTTCTCTACGACTCAATATACAATAGTCATAACCATTAAGAACAATTTGCTACCAATCAAGGCTTATTTTATCGAGATATATTCTGGTCTTAAAGGAAAGTCGAAACGTCAAACGTCACTAATAGGCGTCAGCAGACGGTAGTAGCAAATACCAGATTTAGTAGGTTATTTAATGATCTACATTTTGTATGTCAACTGATCTACAATACTAATATAGGTAATGGCTGTAATAAACATCTTATTTAGTAATGTTGCGATAATAATAAACAATGAATCTATAAATAAAGCAGGATATTAGTCAAGTATTATCTTTTGTTTATTTCAGACTCTGCTAAAGGGCAGAATGCCTTAGATATCTGATTAGAAAGTTACGCAGCGCGGTATAATAAGCTATATCAGTATAATGAGAACATGTTGATTATACAGTATATTGACTGTTACAAAAATATTGTTTCGTTTTATATCTATCTCTTTGTTTCATTACTTATGAAATTGGTTAATCCTTGTTTGCAGCAAAATATGTGATTAGATTAATCCACATTTGAGCGGTAAGCGTAGTATCATGTTTAAATTGCATTGGCCTCCAACTTGTTTGATACGAGTGCGCCAAAAGTTTAATCGTTTAACCAATGCATTGTCATACCTAAACAAGTTCTCCTTTTGCACTCGATGCAATCATACTGAACTTTAAGTCTTGTCGTGCATTCGCCTTTATTCTCAATGATAGGAAGTTACATTGTTGTAATATCCACTCTCAAATCAGCGCATGTTTGCAGAATTTTGCTACTTAAACCGTTCTGATACATGCACACCATGCGAAAGATAGATGTTACACCAATATCCGAGAACAACAAACATATATTTGCCATAATAAGTTTTCCGAACGTTTAAAATAGACTGCTTTCTTAGTACATGCTAAATAAAGACCTCATGATTAGACTAATGAACCATCATTGCTAATTCTAATTTAAGAATTAATGGATAGCTTTATCGTTATGATTTAATCTTTTTGTTTTTGTTTTTGTTTCATTATATGCTCCTTTCATAGAAACATACAGCTTGACTTGGCCATAACGTGCAGACGTGCAGATAACAAAGAATTCCGAGCCCTGTAAACATTTTCCAACAACCATGTCTATGTCCCTTCTATCGTTACAGAATTTAGACAAAGAGCTAATTGTGATCAAACCTAATCATCGTGTGTGTATCTATGTCATCTCCTCTTACAAGCATATGCAGTAGTATAATATTACTGTATACAAAAGATAATTCTTCTCTTGCTAATCAATACTGATTCCATAATCATGTATTTACGTATTACTTGTGCCTCGTTCCAATTGTTTGTTAAACGGTCGCATGCTTCGACATTGTCTTCCATGCGGAGAATAAATATAAATGCTCATTTAATATCCAGATGAACGGGCATACGTTTCATCCACGAATGAATTTCTAATATAGACCACGATTACGAGAGGACGGACGTTGTGATTTGCTTTTGATGCATGTGTGCTATGTGGTAGGTATTCCGTGTAATTAATAGTTTCATGTGTAACAATAATTAATAACATTAACTGACAACGAAAATTGCCGAATACACACATTCGCTCAGACGATTTACGGTAAGATTTGATAAGCAAAGAAAATTTCTCTTTGCATACATGCAATACGAATGAATTTCAGGGGGGCAAATGCTCAACATCAGACGGTAGTGTGATAAGTGATGAAAAGTCCAATTATATGTACCCTTCTCATGATAACTGCATGAATATCATTTATTTTTTGAGCATGACGATATGTTCAAATATCAACTGAATTTTTGCAACCAACTAAATTCGGTAAATTTGAATTACTTGAATACTACTCTCGTTAGCCAGGGGTTCTTTGTTATCCGATTATTATTACCACTACAACAGCACTATCGTCCCAACTATAAATAAAAAGAATCTCGTGTCGGGTTTTATGATGCAGGCTCTCGGAATATCGTTGGCCCATCTCCCTTTAGCTATAATAACCTGTCGTATCCAATATGAGAACTAATTGACAACGGCCACATGACTTGACTCAATTTCCTGAATTTCCGGAAAACGGGGATGGGATCCGCAGATAGCCTATATCGGTATTGTTTAGTCGGTGAAGTGACACTTAACCAATTACACAGACGATTGTCACGTTCGGGGAAACTTACAGTCTAACGGACAAGACATTTACAAGAAGGCAGACTGCATGGTGAACAGCCAAGAAAAAGTCTGATTCATTTGTAAAAATCACAAGATAAGCCAGTGTTCAATACTCTTTTAAGTGAATTATAGCTATCTCAATAAAGCCACGCTGGATGGTTTGAACATACCGAGGTTACGCTACTGAAATTTAAGAATTATGAACAATAGAACGCGCTTTTATTGTGAAAAATTGCATCGTGTTTTGATATGGAAAGGTGGTTAGCGAGAATCCATCGTTTTTGATAATTCGATAATAGGCATTATTAAAGTTACTGCAAGAGAAACAAAGCGGCAATTGATCTACATCTCATCAAACAAATCTGTAAGTTCGACATTTGGAGGGATAGATGGTATAATTGTGTTGACGGATTCGCTCTAAACTCGGTCGCGGTTACGTGTAATTTAATGATTTTTAGTATATTAATGTTTTCTATGAATAATATGTGATCTACGGATTGTTGCACATGTACGACAAAAAGTGGACACATGAATAGAGTGTACTTGGAATTTGTTTGGGCCATTGCTTGCTTAATTCGTTTGAAAACCTGCATTTACACAAATCTTAAGGTTTTAGATAAAGTACTGCAGACAGTCTTCAAGCTTGTGAGGCGAATGTTTGGGTTGGGTTGGTTTGGGTTGGGTTGGGTTAGGGTTGGGTAAGGTTAGAATAAGATATTCGAAGCATGAGATCTCCATGACGGGGGATTCGCAAAGCATAATTACGCACGTACAAGTATTCAATAATGGTATATTTGATGTCCCATTCAAAAAAAACTTGGGACTATTGTCCACCCATTTTGTTTGCCTTACATCTCGTCGTTCAGGAGGAGGTGGGGAACGCTTATTTCTGTATTGGGATTAGCAGGCAGTTTATTATTACAGTTTACTGGGGGTTGCAGATAATGAATTGAACAACTGGAATGACTCATGTGACGTAAGTTATAGTCATCGTCGACTTCTCAAAGGGTTTCGGCGTCTAGATCCTGGAGCGTGTGTTACCGGTAATGACATCATACAAACCGATGTTGTCCAATGAATCTAACCATACGGTACGCCCCCATCCTATTGATAATCACCGTCAAAGGTATGATAGATGTCATCATGCATTTTTTGTGTATCGACAACAAATTGGGGTATGTACAGTAAAATACGGGGATCAAATGGGTTTACACCACTGCATTGTAGTTGTTTGCATCGAGGTTATGTGAAAGTCTACATCAACCAGTAAGAACTAATTCAGCGTTATGATGGCCAAAGCAGAGCAGTTATGTCTTGCAATTTATGTCGCTTAATATCAAACATCGAGTCACGATCTGCTTTGCTTTTCATTTTATACTGCGGATGGATTCTCGCCTTGTTGAGAGGTTCAACTTCTACAGTAGGAAATCATCCTCGTGGTGATCTTTTTTGATCTTCGTATGTATGGGCAGATGAGAAGGAATGGGAACTGCGTAGCAGCTTATTGATAATCTTCATACTGTCGTGCATCGTTTGATAAGTACGTTTTGGTATGTGTGTCACCCGCGGTTCGAAAGAAAGGTGTGTTCGAGATCTTCTCCAACTTATGATCGCATACATGGGCATAGGATGAATTTCTTGGCCGAAATTGAAACTATTGAAGATTAATTACAATGTATCTGCAAAAAATCGAGTATCAAAGAAGAAAGAGCAATCGAAAAGCCATTTCCCGTGTATACTGTATGCTTGGGATAATGAGTCCGCACAAGAAATAGGTCATTCAACTCTTATGATCATTAAACACAAGGTGTATGGATAGATGAAATCACAGAGTCAAAGCTGTCAAGTACAAGAAATAGTTGGGGACTGCTTCACAGGATAGCGTATGATGTACTTGTAAAGGTAGTAAGTAATATCTCTAATAATTAACATGTCAGGTACAAAGAATATAAGGCTTCAAAGAAAAGAAAGCGAGATGCAATGAGACGTTGCTCAATTTCGGGACCATGACAAGGCAAGGTCATCAATTGCATGTGCGGGGGAATGGGATGGGATGGGATGGGATGGGATGGGATGGAGGGCGGTTACAAATGCAAATTCAATTACCACATGCTGTTGGCATATACATCGTGGGCTCTTTGACAATGCCAGTCTGATATCACTTTGCGATTTCGTAGATTTCGTAACGAGTCTTTCTTGATGTTGGCACCGCACCGCACCGCACCCACCACACAGCACTCACCGCACAGCACCGCACCCACCCCAACATGAATTGGACCCCGTAAATTTCTCGTATCCCGATTAAGAGCTAGACACCGATTAGTGATAGTATATACAATATACAACACACAATAAGACGTACAGTATATATACAAGGTGCCCTATTTATCTTCATATTGTTTAGATTCGTCATTGTATTTATTTGATTTTATCACATTCTCTGCATCTTTTTTCACATTCACATCCCCGTATTACAATTATTTATACGTACGAGTACATCAAGGTACATAATTTATCCGCCGTTTCTACTCTATTCAATAGATTTTCCCATTTGTCTCATCAATTTTCAATTGCCGTCACACATTCCAGATGATTGCCCCTACCTTTTGAAATTTTTTCTCTCTTAATTTAAATAAATAAACAGCCAAATTTACCGTTTGGAAATACTCCTTTTGAGACTGACACAACTCAAACGAAAACAGGATACTTTTGTCTCGCACGGAGCAAGTTTTTGGAACACACCGTCAACGACAACGATATCAAATACGGCGATAATCTGAGAAGAATAGCTAGTCGGTTTATACGCAATATTTTACTATCCAATACTCGACTGTATGATAAGAAAACATCTGTCGAATATATCGTAAGTTTGGAAGAAAGTAAACACACTAGAACCCATAAAGTTGCGTCGTGTTGTAAATACAACTGCACAGCTATGTAATATAGTCTGTCAATCATTACTGCAACGCAACTCTCTTTTCATCCCCACACTCATACTAACTTAACTCCTTCTCTTGCTAACCAGCCAGAAAGGAAAGAATAAACAAACAACTAAAATCACGCTAAATACTATACACTGTATCGCTTACAAAAAACACTTGGCAAACTGTCTTCCCCAAACATAACCATACCCACCTACCCCCGTTACCACCATCACCCTCCTCATATACAATGATGCAATCACCCTCATCAATACAAGACTTTCCTCATGCCCCACCGAATCAGCCGTCTAAACGGCGATTCGACATTGGGCCAGACTTAATCTCTGCTCACCTGCAACAGCAGCAACAACAACAGGAACAACAACAGGAACAAGGAATATATGACGACCAACCGCCCAACAAGCGACAAAAGCCTGGAATGGCTACTAGCTTTCTGTACAAGCTGACTGAATTGGCTGCTTACACGTCTGCCGTTGCTGCAGAGGCATATCAAACTATAACTGGCCCGCCGGAGAAGCAGAGAAGTAGCCCACATCATCACGAATATTATAACGATGTGATGCAGATTAAAGCTGCGGGAGAGGAAGACAATGAAATGATGGACGTTGACAACAAGAGAAATGTTTGGGCTGCTGTCAATAATGTCGATGAAGAAGAACCTCCGCCGCCATATGATAGCTCTTGGAGAATGGTAAGTTGACAGAACATGAGTGAAAAAGAGGTGTGGGAAAGAGGTTGGAAAGAGGATATGTGGTGGGAATGTGGGGATGATTGTGGGAGCATTATGGGAGAGGTTGGGATTGTGTAAGATGTATGGGATGGGCTTGTATAATGTATGTACGTAGTTGATAGTTAGAGATTGAATCGGTGAATGGTCACCAACATTCTATTTCAGAGATATATCAGTTTAATCAATTGTTGTATGAATCACATTAACCTAAATCACACTTATAACTGGTCATAATTCAACTCACGCCTTTTCTCCTCTACTTGTAGCCTTCTCCCTCAACTCCAAATTTACCATCCACAGTTGATGCCACTTCTCCATCAAGAGTTCAATTCAATACTCCGCAACCACAATCCCGCCGTCGACAAATTCGCATTCGCCGTGGGACTCGCCGTCCTCTTCGTCGGAAATCTTCTTCTCAAGACCTTCGTGATAGCTCGATTAAATTTGACGATGAAGATGATCTATTCTTAAAATTCAATTGCAAGCTCGCAGATATGATTGCAGAAGGTAGAGCAGCATTGACTAGTACGGTTGATGTGACAGAAGTAGAAATGATGATGGCCGAAGAACGAGAACGAGAAGAAAAGATAATGCGAGATTTGGGAATACAGACACCGATATCATCTCGGAGACGACGGACAGGCAGTTCAAGTAGTGACTTTGATTACTTTGCAGCTTCGCATGTCGATAATACGTCATCATCTGTTACGTACGCTTCTCCAAGCACAGCTTCAGATTATAACTACTCCTCGCTTACGTCTTCACCGATATCATACACATCCAGCGGGTTTTCTGGATTGAATAGTAGTTCGCCAGCATCTGCGTACTCTGCGTATTCAAATTCTTATTCGTCTTCACCGAGTAAGTTTGATCGAATAGCGGGAAGTAGCCTGGGACACCACTCATATGCGAGCAGTACTGGAGCTTATGGAGAGCTAAAGTATGGAGAGTCAAGATATCGAGAGCCGAGGCTTAGTAATCCACAAGCCTTTAGTTATAAAGAGAATACACACGGGAGCGGAGTGTATAATCGGTATTATTAAGAATTTAATGGAGAGTTGAAATGTTTATCTTTGTATTAGAAAAAAATGTGAATAATTTGTCGTTTTATTTTATGTACTCTTGGTTGATTGGTTGGTTTGGAGTTGTTGATCTCCCCTTTATGGTTGGTTGATTGATTATTTGTTGGAGTTTAGATAGATTCTTAGAATTTTCTTATTGTTTATAATTGATTTCGTTTGTTTGCCTTTTTTTCTTTGTTAAAATTGTTTTTGTTTTCAAGTGAAAATTTCTTTAGTGAAGGAGGTAGATTGGGAGTAGGAAGAGGAGTGGGTAGGAGAGGGAGAGGGAATTGGTTGACGGGTTGGTTGGTTGTTAGTTGGTTGATCGATTTGAGGGGACAAGTATATATAGGATGAGCGGGGGAAATTAGAAAAAAATTTTTTATTCGAATGATTAAAATTGCACATTTGCTATTTCAAAATTTCTTCGATCTTGTCTTTCTTTGCCGCTGCCAATATCATTTGGTTCGGTTTATTTTATTTTACTATATTTTTATTATACTATATTTCTTGTTTCATATAGAGACTTGATGTCTTTTATAGATATTCCTGTACTTTTTACTGTTAATTTCCTTGATTATCATCCACTGGCACATTGATTGTGAATGGGTGCATATATTTTGGAGGGGTTATAAACATAATAACACCTTTCTACACATCCATATAGTAATAATACCTTTTCTACCTATCGTTTTTTTTACCCTCCAAACACTCATCTATATCAATTACCCTAAAGTTCTTTATTACCCACTATCCATTTTGTCCCCCTGATGTACTAGACAGAATAATGGACAATAGGACTATATCTCTTTCTCTTACTCTTCTTTATTTGTTCCCATCAGCATATTAATGCTGTATCTGTTATATATTTTTGTTATAATATTCAAAGTATACAACAAAACATGTCATTCTTTTCTAAATTGATATATTATTTGTACATACTTTTCCCCTCATTCTACAATACACATGCTTTTTTATTTACTTGGGTTCCTCCTTCATTCTCTTGTCTTTTGGCTTAAAATGTTTTTGCTTTTCGTTTTTTAATAAAATTTCACGCAAACTTAATTTTTGACAATGTGATTGCGTGATGCGTGTATGTCTCGGTCGGTTATCAAGGAATGAAGAGTTGATATTAGTATTAAATAATCGTCATCATTTCATGTGATTTGATATACATGAAAATGTCAAGTGACCTGAACCGTTATACGACAAGTTCAATTGGTCATATGACCATTCTTAGAGAATAATATACAAGACAATATAATATTATTTCGTCAGACAAAGACGACAATAGGTAAACTGATAAACGATTACCACACTTCCCGTCCCATGCCTTATCAGCAAGCACGTTTGTATGGCGCACGGGCATGTTCATCGAACATCCACTTAATTTATTTTGACAGGCGTTATATGACCGTAATCGCTTTTTGCCCATGGCACAGACATTGTGAGATCGAGAGAGCAGGAGGCGTGGAGAAAAAAAAAAAAGAAAGAGCATGCAAGTTTCTTTCTCTGTTGCTGACCCGATATCGATCATGTGAACACCTCCATTGATGCAGCTATTTTTGTTCGGCCAGTTTTATCTTCATGCACGTGCTTATTACGGAAATGTGAGATGGAGATGATTATATGTGAGATATATTTAGAATATTGATGGACAATAAACATGATACAATTATGGTTTATCTGATATGTGAAAAATTCTTTGTTACAATCGATGAAGATATACCGTTCCTTGTCCATTGTCCATTGATTGTGTCACTTGCCAAACTCGTGGTTGTCCTCCCCCAACGCATGACTATGCATCCGAGTACAATGTGATAATCTACTAATCAGGCAAGTAACCGGTCCAGTGTAAGATTGGCGTAATTTCAAATTGTCACACCGATATACCATCGAAATGTCACCGATTGTTGTTTGTATTGTTGTGTTCGAATATGTTCGTCGAAACAAAGACATCAAGTTACACAGTTAAGTTTTCAAATAATCAATATAAGCACAATATCATATGCACATACATAAGGTCAGTTTATTGCATACACCCCACAAGTCTAAGCCATCTTCAATAGATACCGTTATCGGTGTATTGAGGTGCTGTGGTCATGCAGTGTGAAATTTTTATGGGTCTATATCATGGATTTCACGTGTTGAGAATGGATAAGACAAATAAAAACTAGTAAGAATCGCATCAAGCAGGCTTGGTTTATTTTTGGAACAATCGGAAGAAGAAAAAAAAAAAAAAAACCAGCGATGAGCGTAAGATGATGAACGGTCAGACAATGGGTCTTGTCATTCATGGTTTCATCTTTTTTTTTCCCCTTCATCTCGCCACACACGGGCATAATTTTATTTCCACGCGAAGCAGCTGATTGCAATGATTATGCAACTGCAAGCGAAAGCGTCATCAGGTGACTGTCAAAAAGATAACAATAAATAAATAGCGTTTTAGTTTTATTAATTAATAATTGTCAGTTGTTTAACAATTCTTGGTCGTGTTACGCACCTAACAAGTATCAAACTAGTTTTCTATGGAGAAACACGGGTAGCAATGCATGTATTGCAGGTCTGGGAAGAATGGGGGAGAATGGGAAAATAGAGATAATGGGGCAAATATAATAGCAAGAGTTAAGGGTAACTTGCGGTAAAAGTTGGTACCACGCGGTATTTTAATGGGTAAAAGATTTATATAAGAGTTATTTATAGATTAATACAATTTTGTTTGTACATATAAGGACGAAAGTATGGTATAACAGATATCTATTAATTAGTATTAATAGTGAAAAAGTTACGAGAATTTGACACGTATACTTTTACCAATTGTATTAGTATGTGCCTATACCCCAAATTTGCACATGTTTTTTAGTAGTACATTGTTAAGCATAGTCTTAACATTAATTTGCGCCATACGATATTAGTATTGTTATTTGAAAACCCCTTAACAATTGTGGGTGGGATAAAGAATCATTGTCGGATCTACACCTTCAATGACGATCATCTCGAACCCTTGCAAAACTTTCTTATTCGTACTAGGGGAACAGTGGAGACGGTTTATTTACGGTTTATTCACGGTTGTTATATTCAAGGGTTTTGTTATAGATAGAAGGAAGATGCAGATAAACGGCATTCAGGGTGTGCGTATGTAAGCGAGTGTAAGCAAACGTAAGCTTTACAGAATATGCAATGTGACACTTGTGGAAGTAATTAGAGTTTAGTCACACAGCCATAAATCACAACACAATCTACCCTGCTTAACCCTACCACCCCCACTTAATCTTAACCCCCACTACAACCCCCACTCTAGCTATCAGTTCATCATCCATTAACGCCACCACGTATATCATTACGTTTGTTCATATTAATATTGCATTCAATTACATAACATTCAATTACATCACAATTATATATCCATTAACTGACTTGTGCAATCGTCACATGTAAAAGCATGCAGTGCGAAGATGAGGCTGATTACTATTGTCGCAGCCTTGTTTGAGCAATTATTCAGAATCGGACGTCAAGATATTGAAGATATTGTCTGTCTGTTGTAGCGCCATGTACATGTCTTGTTTAATTCGTCAACCCCAACTGTGTGTTGTGTATGCATACCTTCCACTCAAAAGAGAGGCAGGCGTACAGTGAGCTGATGGGCCAGAACGCCGTTAAACCATATAGAGCATTGTCGGCTGTGTCAATCGACAGGATACGTGGTGCGTCATAGTCTATGAGCCTGTTACTTGTCCACGTGTATGCGCATGGTTGTGCGTGGTTGAGGTGTCACGTGAAGTACACTGAAATATGTAAACAGAATCGTGTATTTCTTATACTAAGTACATACATACATACATACATACATACATACATACATACATGATACGTGCGTATGTATGTAGCAAAGTTCTTATCTTGAGAGTTTCTCAAAGGATTAACAAAACCCTTCTCGTGCATCCATATATTACATAATTAGCATCTTTTAATGGCGTTTCCAATAGTTTTCGTGGCATCTTTCGTGTTAGCATTTTTCATACATATTACATAACATTTAATATAAGGCATTTCGTGCATTTAGGTTCATGCTGTACACGTTTCATGTTATAATCTTTTCGGGATCATCAATTCAGGGTAAGAAGCCCCATTCCTTCCCCATCAACAGTTCCCCGTACCTTCTTCCTTTCAAATATTCCCACAGATGGGCCTAAACAAACGCACTACAGATATGTTATTAAAGGATTTTTCCTTGTTTATTTCCGAGTTTCTTTTTTTATTTTTTTCTTCTTCTCTGTTTCTCTCTGTTTCTCGTCTTTGTGATAAAGTGAATAATGAAAAAAAAGCCTAATTATGATTGTATACGGAGTTGTATATATAATGTGAATGTAGAGAATTTGTATAATATAGCGGATTGCTAAAACGTAGAAAATAAAAAGGCATATGTGTGGAATAAAATAGAATTACAGTCTTGTACATAGTCAAAACATATCAAGTTAAGAAATACTTAATACTGATTTCTTCTCTATCAGTCTATATAAAAAAATACAGTACTTGAATAAATGTGGGAGGGGGTGTTATATGTCTAATGTCATTAAAGTGTATAGTTTATATGTGTAATGTGTACAATAATATATGCAGTTGGATCACGTCCTGCATGAGCGTATTTGTGTGATTATACACCACTGACCAAAAAATGGACAGCAGATGGCTTATTGTGCTTGGATGAGTGGAGGTGGTGGTGCAATTGATTTGCGCCGTGACATTAAGAGAAGCGGAGGAGGCGAGGGTGGAGCAATGTATGAGTCTTCCTCGTCTTCATCATATTCAGTGTCTAAAGAATGTAAATTTGTCTTATTAGCAACTGATAATAAAGAAAAATAACGACTAGTGTCCAAATATGTTTAGGGACTTACCAGATAGTTCAGGTGGTGGTTGATGTGTATCATATTCTGTAATCATCGAAATAATAGATAATTTTTATTAGAATAATGTCGTACAAA